CGAAAAACTGGAAGTAGCCCAGGACTAGTTCTTCTTAAAAATATATAGTTTATATGCAATTCCAGCTCTGGATAATTTTGACGAATTTTTGAAAAATCATCAAATTTTGCCAAAAGTAGTGGAATTTTCAAGTGGATCCAACGGGCATTTGGAGAAGACATGAATCGGGGTACCGAAAAACTGGAAGTAGCCCGGGACTGGTTCTTTCCAAAAATGTATAGTTTATATGCAATTCCAGCTCTGGATAATTTTGACGATTTTTTGAAGAATCATCAAATTTTGCGTAAAATGTAGGTAGTTTCAGGTCGATACTATTATTCTTATTATGAAAAATATTTAAAAAATCAACTTCTGTTGTTCAGTATTTGATTTGAATTTTCGTTAACAGTTTTTACGTATAAATAAAATACTTTCAATAAAAAATAAACATTTCTTTCATATTGTTTTTCACTTTTGTTAATATTAAATATCACTCAATGAACTCTTTTTAAAGAATTATCTTGACGGTAGTTCATAATTTTATTTTGTGAATAAATAATGAGAGTGATGGAGGTAGCAAAATATTGTTGTAAGTTTTCCATGAAAATTATGCATATTTTATTGCTTCGCTGCCAATAGGTTTGATGGTTTTGGGCGCTGTTAAGTTGTTGTTGGGATAGCCGTTTTTTATATATGATTTCTGTAATTTTTTTATGACAGCACGATTTTTTTCTTGTGTTTTTTATATTCTCAGGTACTAATAATGTAAAAGTAGAGTCCCTTCGACTCTACTTGACCGCGCTAGTTGACTACCACGATAACCATTCTCAGGTAATATTTTTCGTATTCGTTGTGAAAATTGAAAAAACTCTACAATAAGTCAAAAAATGAAGCAATTATTTGAGAAAATTCGCAAAATGTCGATTCTTTTATTGATCGTTTATAACAACACAAGTGTTGAGGATCGAAAGGTAATTTTTGTACGTTTGTATGAATGTATTTTATGATTTTGTGTAACATATGCTTTTTATGTTTTTTCAAAAAATTTTTGGAAAGAACTAGTCCTGGGCTACTTCCAGTTTTTCGGTACCCCGATTCATGTCTTCTCCAAATGCTCTTTGGAGCCACCTGAAAATTCCACTATTTTTGGCAAAATTTGACGATTTTTCAAAAATTCGTCAAAATTATCCAGAGCTGGAATTGCATATAAACTATACATTTTTGGAAAGAACTAGTCCTGGGCAACTTCCAGTTTTTCGGTACCCCGATTCATGTCTTCTCCAAATGCTCTTTGGAGCCACTTGAAAATTCAACTATTTTTGCCAAAATTTGATGATTTTTCAAAAAATCGTCAAAATTATCCAGAGCTGGAATTGCATATAAACTATATATTTTTAAGAAGAACTAGTCCTGGGCTACTTCTAGTTTTTCGGTACCCCAATTCATGTCTTCTCCAAATGCTCTTTGGAGCCACTTGAAAATTCCACTATTTTTGGCAAAATTTGGTGATTTTTCAAAAAATCGTCAAAATTATCCAGAGCTGGAATTGCATATAAACTATACATTTTTGGAAAGAACTAGTCCTGGGCTACTTCCAGTTTTTCGGTACCCCAATTCATGTCTTCTCCAAATGCTCTTTGGAGCCACTTGAAAATTCAACTATTTTTGCCAAAATTTGATGATTTTTCAAAAAATCGTCAAAATTATCCAGAGCTGGAATTGCATATAAACTATATATTTTTGGAAAGAACTAGTCCTGGGCTACTTTCAGTTTTTCGGTACCCCGATTCATGTCTTCTCCAAATGCTCTTTGGAGCCACTTGAAAATTCCACTATTTTTGGCAAAATTTGATGATTTTTCAAAAATTCGTCAAAATTATCCAGAGCTGGAATTGCATATAAACTATATATTTTTAAGAAGAACTAGTCCTGGGCTACTTCCAGTTTTTCGGTACCCCAATTCATGTCTTCTCCAAATGCTCTTTGGAGCCACTTGAAAATTCCACTATTTTTGGCAAAATTTGGTGATTTTTCAAAAAATCGTCAAAATTATCCAGAGCTGGAATTGCATATAAACTATACATTTTTGGAAAGAACTAGTCCTGGGCTACTTCCAGTTTTTCGGTACCCCAATTCATGTCTTCTCCAAATGCTCTTTGGAGCCACTTGAAAATTCAACTATTTTTGCCAAAATTTGACGATTTTTCAAAAAATCGTCAAAATTATCCAGAGCTGGAATTGCATATAAACTATACATTTTTGGAAAGAACTAGTCCTGGGCAACTTCCAGTTTTTCGGTACCCCGATTCATGTCTTCTCCAAATGCTCTTTGGAGCCACTTGAAAATTCCACTATTTTTGGCAAAATTTGATGATTTTTCAAAAAATCGTCAAAATTATCCAGAGCTGGAATTGCATATAAACTATACATTTTTGGAAAGAACTAGTCCTGGGCTACTTCCAGTTTTTCGGTACCCCGATTCATGTCTTCTCCAAATGCTCTTTGGAGCCACTTGAAAATTCCACTATTTTTGGCAAAATTTGATGATTTTTCAAAAATTCGTCAAAATTATCCAGAGCTGGAATTGCATATAAACTATATATTTTTGGAAAGAACTAGTCCTGGGCTACTTCCAGTTTTTCGGTAACCCGATTCATGTCTTCTCCAAATGCCCGTTGGATCCACTTGAAAATTCCACTATTTTTGGCAAAATTTGATGATTTTTCAAAAAATCGTCAAAATTATCCAGAGCTGGAATTACATATAAAGTATACATTTTTGGAATGAACTAGTCCTGGGCTACTTCCAGTTTTTCGGTACCCCGATTCATGTCTTCTCCAAATGCTCTTTGGAGCCACATGAAAATTCCACTATTTTTGGCAAAATTTGATGATTTTTCAAAAATTCGTCAAAATTATCCAGAGCTGGAATTGCATATAAACTATACATTTTTGGAAAGAACTAGTCCTGGGCTACTTCCAGTTTTTCGGTACCCCGATTCATGTCTTCTCCAAATGCCCGTTGGATCCACTTGAAAATTCCACTACTTTTGGCAAAATTTGATGATTTTTCAAAAATTCGTCAAAATTATCCAGAGCTGGAATTGCATATAAACTATATATTTTTGGAAAGAACTAGTCCTGGGCTACTTTCAGTTTTTCGGTACCCCGATTCATGTCTTCTCCAAATGCTCTTTGGAGCCACTTGAAAATTCCACTATTTTTGGCAAAATTTGATGATTTTTCAAAAATTCGTCAAAATTATCCAGAGCTGGAATTGCATATAAACTATATATTTTTAAGAAGAACTAGTCCTGGGCTACTTCCAGTTTTTCGGTACCCCAATTCATGTCTTCTCCAAATGCTCTTTGGAGCCACTTGAAAATTCCACTATTTTTGGCAAAATTTGGTGATTTTTCAAAAAATCGTCAAAATTATCCAGAGCTGGAATTGCATATAAACTATACATTTTTGGAAAGAACTAGTCCTGGGCTACTTCCAGTTTTTCGGTACCCCAATTCATGTCTTCTCCAAATGCTCTTTGGAGCCACTTGAAAATTCAACTATTTTTGCCAAAATTTGATGATTTTTCAAAAAATCGTCAAAATTATCCAGAGCTGGAATTGCATATAAACTATACATTTTTGGAAAGAACTAGTCCTGGGCAACTTCCAGTTTTTCGGTACCCCGATTCATGTCTTCTCCAAATGCTCTTTGGAGCCACTTGAAAATTCCACTATTTTTGGCAAAATTTGATGATTTTTCAAAAAATCGTCAAAATTATCCAGAGCTGGAATTGCATATAAACTATACATTTTTGGAAAGAACTAGTCCTGGGCTACTTCCAGTTTTTCGGTACCCCGATTCATGTCTTCTCCAAATGCTCTTTGGAGCCACTTGAAAATTCCACTATTTTTGGCAAAATTTGATGATTTTTCAAAAATTCGTCAAAATTATCCAGAGCTGGAATTGCATATAAACTATATATTTTTGGAAAGAACTAGTCCTGGGCTACTTCCAGTTTTTCGGTAACCCGATTCATGTCTTCTCCAAATGCCCGTTGGATCCACTTGAAAATTCCACTATTTTTGGCAAAATTTGATGATTTTTCAAAAAATCGTCAAAATTATCCAGAGCTGGAATTACATATAAAGTATACATTTTTGGAATGAACTAGTCCTGGGCTACTTCCAGTTTTTCGGTACCCCGATTCATGTCTTCTCCAAATGCTCTTTGGAGCCACATGAAAATTCCACTATTTTTGGCAAAATTTGATGATTTTTCAAAAATTCGTCAAAATTATCCAGAGCTGGAATTGCATATAAACTATACATTTTTGGAAAGAACTAGTCCTGGGCTACTTCCAGTTTTTCGGTACCCCGATTCATGTCTTCTCCAAATGCCCGTTGGATCCACTTGAAAATTCCACTACTTTTGGCAAAATTTGATGATTTTTCAAAAATTCGTCAAAATTATCCAGAGCTGGAATTGCATATAAACTATATATTTTTGGAAAGAACTAGTCCTGGGCTACTTTCAGTTTTTCGGTACCCCGATTCATGTCTTCTCCAAATGCTCTTTGGAGCCACTTGAAAATTCCACTATTTTTGGCAAAATTTGATGATTTTTCAAAAATTCGTCAAAATTATCCAGAGCTGGAATTGCATATAAACTATATATTTTTGTAAAGAACTAGTCCTGGGCTACTTCCAGTTTTTCGGTACCCCGATTCATGTCTTCTCCAAATGCTCTTTGGAGCCACTTGAAAATTCCATTATTTTTGGCAAAATTTGATGATTTTTCAAAAAATTCGTCAAAATTATCCAGAGCTGGAATTGCATACAAACTATATGTTTTTGGAAAGAACTAGTCCTGGGCTACTTCCACTCTGCCGGTACCCCGATTCATGTCTTCTCCAAGTGTCTGTTGTTTGCATTTGAAAATTCTATATTTTACTACCATATTTGACGAGTATAAAATTATTTTAACTAATTTTTATTTTATATATTAATTTTTTGAATATATTTTAATATAATTTTACTTTATTTCTTAAAAAACATATTATTTGGTGCTCGTTTTATTAAAAAATAAATTTTAATTCATTTGAAAACGAATTTTATAGTATGTGGAACGTATTTGACATATGTGGTGTGGGACGTATCTGGCCGACGAATTTAACTTCACACCCTTATAATTTTTTTAATTAATTCAGCTAAATATTTTTTTATCATTTATAAATGTTGTCTGCTTGTAATGGCTTTTCCCCAAAAATTATTAATATATAAAGTTTTCCAAATAATTTTACAGCAAGTTAACTTAAAGCCACAAGCGTACTTGTTGATCCCAGCTAGTAGAGGCCAAACACATGCCATTGGGTGACAAACTAATGCATGTAATACGATTTTCATGACCTTGCATTATACCTTAAGTGACAAAAGAAAACAAAAAATCAATAATTTAATTGAATTATATTTGTTTTTTCTTGAAAGAAAACCTTTTAGTGCTTCCAATACTTACCATTATGACATACTTTCATGGTATCAAATGAATGTATATTGCCCTCAATACCTGAACACAACAAATAACGTCCACTGGTTGATAGGGCTGAAAATAATAGAAAAAAAATTTGGTTAGAAAAGTTTGGAAATTTTTTTACTTTAAGATACTCACCACAAGAAGTGAAACCAGTATTTTTTTGTGGCGGTTCATATAAAGCAATTTGTTGATCAGATCTTATATCATATAAACGTGCTGTTTGATCCTCAGAAGCAGAAGCAAAACCATTGCCACTAGGATGATACTAAAAATAAAGTAATTTTCTATTTAAAAGACTAGATTTGTTATAGATTAACAATTTTCTGTCTATTTAATCTTCTTGTTTTTCTAAATTTACTTCTTGTTTATTATATTTTTTTCACAAAAATACTTACACAAACCGAATTAACATCCATTTCATGACCGAAAAACATTTGTTTATGCGTATCCTCGCGTACATCCCATAATTTAGCGGTTTTATCTACAGAACCCGTGATATAAGTATTCATATCGGGCGATAAAGATAAACCGGCTATATCACCAGCATGACCATTAAAATCCATAGTCTTGACGCCTTTCTCCAAATCCCAATGGCAACTTAAAACGAAAACGCAAAATATTACTTCTTATTATTGTCGTTACTAAACAATTCACTTACATTTTCATATCTCCCGAACCGGTTATCAAATGGGTATCATCCAGAAAGCGACAAGAGCTTAAGAAACCCTCATAGCCCAATAATTCTCTAGTCATTTTGGCCACACCCGAAGCATCACGATTATTAACATCATAAACCGTGCATTGATTGTCCATACCGCCGCATGCTACAAAATTGCCAGAAGGAGAAAAGGCCACCGTCATGACCCAGGCCGAACGTAAGGGTATAACCTTGAAGTTTGAAAATTATCAAATGTCAAAATGTTTTTAAAGAAAGTTTTTAATACCAACCTGCACTTTATTGGCTGTCCAGGTATCCCATATGATAAGTTTGCCATCTAGTGATCCGGTTACACAGTGCCTTGAATCTCCGGCAAAATGCACCGAATTGACTTTATTTATATGTCCTTTGAGTATTTTTTTAGGTGCTAAACGTATCTTTGGTATATCAGACATATCACCACATTTTTCTTGTAGTGTACAATCGGCTTTGGCTTTTTGATCATCCTGGGTGTGAAAGAAATTAAATTAGTTTAAAGAAAATTCTTAAAATTTTTAATTATATTCATGTTTGTTTAACTAAATAAGCTTTTTTTAGGATTATGGATAAACCAGAAAGGAATCCCTGTTTAGGGTGTCCTCTTAAGTTTTGTTTTTTACATTCCAGGAAGCATTTTTGTAAGTTGATAGAAAACATAACTGGTTTGGCGATAGAATTTCTTTTTAGCTGGTTAGAAACTTGTCAAATTTAACGAAGTGTTTTACCGGGGAAGCCCATTTTTATTAATTCTGTCCTAAATTTGATCAGTTTTTCAAAGTTTTTAATTAATTCTATTGCTAATTGTTAAATTTACTTTGTGGATTAAACATTTAAAAGAAAATTCAGAGTTCAGATTCCTCTAAAATGTTTAATTTTTTTATGTCACCTGAAACTTTTGTATTAATCCATTAATTTCATCGTATAATTTTTGAGTTTCTGGATCAACTTTAGGCATTTTTATTTAAAATTTTCTTAAACTTTTTATAACTGATTTAGAAATCCCACAATAGATTTTATTCCTTTTATCTTTTTTTAATTTTCTTTTAATTTTTTTTTTTTTGTAAAGTTCTCCCTTTCAAAACCGTTTCAATACTAAACTACAGATTTTCATAAAACGTTATGTTACCGTTAGTTTTCAACTTAATGCAATTAGTTGCTATTTAATTGGATTTGGTATTGTCAAAATACTTGAGGCGCGGTGAAACAAAAGACGGGTGAGCGAAAATTAGAGCAATAGTAATGCGTTTTTATTTTGCTTACGGGAAATTTAAATTAGGTCTTTAGAACAAGCAAGAACAAACAAGTTGCTGACATTTATATTGTTTAAAAAAAGAACAACCCTTAATTGAGTAAACATTTTGTTAAATATATGAGGTTTTTAATGTACTTTTGTTCAAAATAAATAACAAACAAATAGCTTATATTGTTTGGAATTGATGGCCATTTAAGTATTAGAAATATTATAAGGAATATTGATAACTAACTAATCTATCGAAATGTGGTCCATTTTTTTTATAAATTGTACTTTTAAGCCCTTTCTAATATATTATCCTGCTTTTAGAAATATAATTTAAACATATTTCCTGTTTTTAAAACATTTCCCACCATTTTCCTTTAAAAACTATCAAAAATTCGCTTTATCTACCATTATTTAAGCCGCCAGTCGCTTAACGTTACCATCATGTTTTTGCTTTGTTTACTTTTTTTTTAAACCAAAATGAAAACAAACTTTGTTTTTTTTTTAATTTTTTATAATTTTTTTTATTGTTTTATTTATTTTTACAAATTCTTTTTTTCTTTTCTTGGTATTTCTTAAAAAATACTAAAATAATTAAAAAAAATTATTATTTTTGTAGCTGCTTAAAAAAAATGTGTCGTATTTTTTTGGTTCTTATAACAAATTAGAAAACAATAGTTGGAAAAGGCAGCATTTTTTTTTCGTTTAAATTCTACACAAAACAAAAAGGAAACAAGTTCACTTACTATTATTAAAAAAAAATCATAATAATCAACAGAAAAATTTTTATACAATTTAAAAGATTTTGGAAAATAATAAAAAAAGTAACACTTAAAAAAAGAGTATGAAAGAGAAATGAGAGTAAGAGAAAAATTAACTACACTGAAAGAAACTTTCAGAGATGACAGTTTGTAGAGTTTGAGTATTTTGTAGAGTTTCTAGGATTTAGTATAATTTTATAAAGCATTATAATTTGTGAATTATTATTTCGATTTTTTGTTTTTTTTTTTTTTTAAATCAGACTCTAGTTGGAACTACTTTAATAACGTAATTCTCTGTGTTTTAGATTTTTATATAAAAAATTATGTTCTTTTTCTTTAAGAATCCTAACAAAAACTTAAACATTATATAAATTACTTCCCTGGCCTAGCTAGCGAGTGGCAACTTAAACTGAGAAACCATCACCAGTGGGATCCAAGATCCAGGGGTAATTGTTGGGGCACTCCATACAGGTGAAGAGACGCAAAGTCTCACCGGGCAATTCGCGGGTGGTCAAGGGGCAGGCATTGGGCAAAGAGCAGTAGGGTTGACCCTTGACATCACACTTCTCCTTCCATTCCTGGAAGTCACGTAGAGCGTTCAATTCTGTGGGGTTTTGCATCCATTGGATGACTTGCAAGTTGGTGACGAAGAAGACATCGTTGCGGCCCAACATTTCTTCAATGAATTTGATCAATTCATCGCGGTATTCCTTCTTAGATTTCAACCAGGAGGCGTGGAAGTGGAGACCCAAAGGAGCACGGTTGCTATTGTAGTGACGGTTGAAGTTGTGACGCAAAAGTCTACCGAATTGTTCACCAGAGGCAATGTTGGAGCAAGAGTCTACCATATGACAACCGGGCAAAGATTCATCGAAAGTGGGGTCATCACGACGATCCAATTCATTCATGACCATTTCCCAGACAGGGTGGCTACGTGATGGGCAGTTATGGGCATTACCGTTACACTTGTGGGGCATGCGGAAGTACAAGGTGTAGGGCCAGATTGGAACACGTCCCAAAGAAGCAGTGATGGAAGCATCATAGACAAAGAATTGATCAGCCATCATTTCGAATTGTTTGTTGCCACCGACACGCAAGTAAGGAGCACGCATACCAATAATGGAACCATCAGTAATGTTGGCGAAACGTTCAATGATCAAACGGGCACCAGCCATTTCAGCTAACCAATCATCATAGGTACCACTGGTCCAGTAGTTGGGATCATCCTTGTGGGTCAAAGAGAACACAGACACTTCATGACCGCGACGGTGCAAATCTTGAACAGCGGAGTAGTTGGTGTATTTGTGGGAAACGAAGAAGGTACCCTTGATGGAGCAGCCGTTAGGATTTTGACGTTGGCCGTTGAAGATATCTTCGTACAAATCGATGTTGTCAACATTGACGGCACCGTTGAAGGTGATGGTAATCATTTGAGGTACTTGTTGGGGTTCAATGCCACCGGGGATACGGGTACCATCAGCGGAACAGAAACAATCGGGCAAAGCACATTGGGTGGGATCACATTCAGGGGCACGGTTGGGATCTTCGTCGACGGCTATAGAGGAAAGAGCAGGAAATAAATTATTAGTTTCTTAATTCCTTAAGCAAGTTTTGAATTTGAAACTTACAGCAAGCATTTTCATCGGATTCATCCTTGCAGTCGGGTTTACCGTTACAGAAAAGTTCTTTATCAAGACATTCACCATCACCGCAAGACAATTTACCCTCGGGGCAAATAGGTTCATCGGTTTTCAAGATGGGCTTAACTTTGCGTGGCTCTAATTATTTTAAATTGTAAAAAATTTTAATTTAAATTAGATTATTTTATTTTAAATAGGGAAATTTAAAGAAGTTTTGAAGCAAGCTTTAGTTTTTCAATAGTTAAGAAAGTATTAGTTTATAGCTTTAGATAGATATTTGTATAATTTTTGTTATTGAAGATTAGTAACAGACAAAAGATTAGATAGGGTTAGTCCAAAAAAGGTTTGTTTCTTAATTTTTTTATGACAAAACCAAAACCAAAGTTCCTAATTTTTTTTTAAACCAAGTTATAATAATTGTTTTCTATACTAAAAGAAATTAATATAAAAGAATTATGTGCCCTGTGTCCGTTGCCAAATTGTGTTGTTTTTGTTGTTGTTATTTTGTTTATGGGTTTTTTTAAGGGGTGTGGAGTAGGTGGGGGGAGTGTAAAGCTTGGCCACTTACTTTCTTTTTCATTGCAGTTAGTTACTTTAGCCTTCCAGTCACAAGTTTGTTTCATAATATCGAAGGCCAAACCAGAGGGGCATTGGATTTCTTTCAAACCTGATTTGGTACATCTAAAAACACACAGAGAAAGGTGGAAAATGCAGGATATTTAAGGGTCGGATTTCTTTAATTTTTGTAATTTTTACACACAAAATTATAAATTGTATTTTTCCCTTAAAATCTTGTTTTTTTTTTTAATTTTTTCAAATATACAAAAACATCTCAAATTGTAACGGTTTCGTGGGGCTTTTTTTGACAGCTTAGAACTTTGGTTTGTAGGAAGCGGAAATTTGTTTTTTGTTTTTTTTGTAAATATAAATAAAGAAACACATATACAGAGTGTAAATAATTATCACACATACATTTATATATAAATATATAAAATAAAATACCAAAGAAAACTTAAGTTAGTTAACACACATTTAATTAAAATTTTGTTTTAAAAAAATAGAGAGAAAATACCAAACAAAACACAGCTCGCTCTCACATCCTTTGACAACTAAGTTTCTAAACAAAGCTGCCAGTTGTTTGTTATTGTTTGATATCATTTATTGCCAGATGTTTTTAATACACAAATCACCAAGTTTAGAGACACACAAAACAGAATTTTATAGACAAAGGAGCCTTGGAAAAAAGGAACAAGTCTTAGCAAAAGAAAAAAACTTGAAATTTTTTTAGACAATTTATCATTTTTGTTCCGTTTGTTGACTTTTGACAGTAAGATTAAGAAGTTATTATCATATATATACACCAAAAAAACAGAAAGTAGAAGGAAGTATGGAGTAGGAGTATAAACTCTAAACTTACTCTCAATTTCATTACAAGTTTTAACATTTGTTTTCCAATCACAGGTTTGTTTCATAATATCAAATGCCAAACCGCCAGAGCATTTAATTGATGCTAAACGAGTTTTACCCGTTTCACCTTTATCACATCTTTATTTTTATATAAAATATATAAATTTATTAAAAAATCACATAATTATAATTATGTACATGAATTATGAAAAACTTTATAGTCTTTTTTATAAAAGTTGCCAAAAATTTCCATAAAATTAAATTTTCTTGTTTTCAAAATTTTATAAAATTTATATATTATGGAATTTTTCAAAATCTTGCCCATTTTTTTGTAGTAGTTTTTTGGGGGAAAAATATTGTTGTTTTTTTAAAAAAGATTTTTCATGAAATTCAATTATGTGTATGTGTTGTTTAAAAAAAACTAAGGATAACTTACCTGTAGACTTCGCGACAATCGCCTTCGGTATCCAAACGGAAGTATTCATCACCGGGTCTATCGGTACAGACTTCTTCTACATCGATACCTTCTAATTTATCATTTGTTTCTTGACTGGCGGCTAAAGGTTTAAAAGAAATTTAAAAAAACATTTAGTTAATTGATTTTTTTTTACAAAATTTTTAAAGAAAAAAGTATTAAATGGTGTTTTTAACAGAGTTTTGTGAAGAACTCATTTAGTAGTTTCTATATACCAATAGATCTCCCTTTAACTACCGATTAATAAAGAACAATTTTAAAATTTTCCTAAAACCGAGGTTAACCACTTTGCCAGCTTCTATACCTGTTCTTTATAAATCTTAAAGGTCCAAATAGCAAAATTTTAATTCAGCTATACCTCTTCTGTATTTGTGCCAAATCTTATGCAAATCGGTTTAGCCTTTTAAAAATTACAGCTAGTTTTCTATTTTATTACAAATACCACTGACGTTGTGCAGTTTGCGGCTTGACGTTAAAATAATGTTTACTATCATTGTTTTGTTTGTTTATGTTTTACTCTATAGTGGTAAGTTTGTAGAAATTAGTGTTGCCATATGAGAAATGTTTGTAAATAACTGTAAATTGGTGTACATTGATGGTAAACAATAAAAATGCTGCGTAATTAGAGAAACTCATGGGTAAATAATAAAAATTAAGTTAAATTAGGGAAAATTAAATGATTTTAAAGAAATTTAAGGAATTTTTAAGGGTTTTTTTTGTATAATTTACTAAACAATTAGTTGTTAAATAATAAAAATTATACCAAGTACAGGAAATTTATTGTTGTAGATTAAAAATTAAGCAAAATTAATAGATTTTAAAGAAAATTCTCAAATTTTTATGAGGTCTGTTTATATTTTCAATCAAATTTAAATATATTTACTTATTTTTAAAGAAAATTATTGAAAATATTTGAAATTTAGGTAAATTTCTTTAAATTTTTTTTTTATTTTCTTTATAAAATAATAAATAAGATTATTATTCAGCTCTAAATAACCAGCATATGAATTTTGTGTTAAAAAATTTGAAACATTTTTCTTTGAATCATCAATTTTATTTTCCTAATTAACTTTTAAGCCGGCTTTTTAATTGCGTAATGAAAAAACTTGTTTTTAGCAAATATTTATCCTCTAAATTACTAAACCATTATTATGGTTATAAAGAAAATGAAAGGGAAATGCCATAAAGTATCGTTTACATTGACTATATACAACCAGTTTCCGTAATTATGCCTGTAAACTCTTTTGATGTAAAGAGTAAAAGTATTAAAATGCATAAAGTAGTAAAAAAATATATAATAGTGCAGCAGCCAGTTGAAGTAGTTTAACCAGTTTTTATGTTGCTTTAAGTAAGGGGAATATTGCATAAATTTTCTACTATTGTAGAGTAAAAATTATGTAAATTTTTATATAGAAAACTACAACTTTTAATAGTTTTTTTTGTAATAATTTCTGTTGGTATTTATTGCCAAAATTGGCAAATGTTTGCTGGGGTTTTATATATTATTATTCAATTATTTTTAGTTGTTTGTTAAATTATTTAACATTTTGTTTGGTTGTTGTTGAGTTTAAACTCTTGTTTGTTTATTTTATTTGGATTTTTTTCTTCGCTTAATTGAAGTGGTTAACCTTGGTTTGAAAGCTTTGTATTATTAAATGCCATAATTATAAGTTAAGTTAAATGGAAAAAGTAAGAAAAAAGTTAACATTGTAATTAAACTATAAGAAATATGCTAAAATTTTAAAGGTCACTAAAGTTTATTAGAGAAAAATGTACAACTTTTAAATATTTTCAACAATTACAAATATCATGTGATTTTTTCAAAATATTTTTTAAATTTTAAACACTTTTTTTAAAATTTTAACTTTAACACTTTTTATTAAGGGTTTCCCTTTAAAGTTTTTTTGTTTTAGTAATATGGCAGCACTAATTTGTATATACTTTGTTAACAGCGCCCTCTATTAGCTCCTTTTTTTTGTAATTACTTAAACGGCCATTTTTTCTTTTAACACAAACACTTTTTTTAATACTTTTTTTGAAATTTCTTTAATTTAAGTTAAAATATTTGATAAAAAAAAACTTACCCAAAGCACAGCACAATACAAATAAACCTAAAACAGGCCACACACGCGCCATTTTGCGTATGTGCTTTTTCTTTGTTTAGTGTAGACTGAACGAGTGGGTTTTTTAACCACAAAAACCTTTAAAGGAGAAAAAAATTAAAGAAAAAATTAAATAAAACACTTGTCACCAAAAATATATATATTAAAAAAAATACTAACTTTTTTTATTATAGTTTGTAAATAAACTATAAACGTTAGCTAGCGTACTTGCTCAATACACAGCCACGATTACACTAGGTGTTGGCTGCTAGCAGCAAGTTCTATTTATTAAGATGCACAAAACACTTCAAAACACAAAAAGGTAAAAAAATTTTGCAGAATGGTGAATAAGAAATGGTTAAAAACCTTTAAACAAAACCAGCTTCACCAAGTAGACTTAAAAGAACCATATTTCTCATACTCGCTCGCTCTCTGTAACATAAGCTAGAGGTGAATTTGTTTTTGGAAAAAAAGGGGAACTTAAGAAAAAGCTCTTTCTTTAACAACCTTATTAATATGCATAAATGCATACAAATTTTATATTTATTCACTTCAAATCCAGTTTTTTTTTTTTTGGGTATAAAATTTAAAAGGAGCTCATCTTTAAAGTTTATATAACTAGAAAAAAAAACACAAATTTGTTAATAAAAATTTCATTAAAAACAGGGGAAGGGGGTTTGTTTAAATGTTTAAGAAACGCTTAAACTCACCACTCTGTGAAACTCTCCCCAGTGAGCTAGAGGTTTGTTGCTTAAGTCTTTTGTTTTGCAGCAACAACATATTTCTAGTTATTATTTTATTAAATTTAAATCCAGTTTTTTATTTGTTTGTTATTATTGTTGTTATTTATTTAATTAATCAGTTATTATTAACAACAAAATTGCGCAAATTATTTAAATAAAACTTTTAACTCAAGAAAACAATAAATATATTAAATTTCTTATATGAACTTAAAGCAAAAAAAAACTCCATTAAATTATTAAAAACTTACATAAATTAAAATTATAAAAAAAAAAACAAAATAACAAGGAGTGTCTTAAACAAAACTAATAATGATGAAATTGACATTTAATGTCGTGCAGGCGTAAAACTTTTTTTATCTTAAAAAAAAAACAAATTACAAAAACATTTAAATGTCACTACTATTAAACTTAACAACAAAAATTAACCACCTTTAACCACAATATATAATTAAATATTCAAATTCTTCTTTAAAACCTTCTATATCCTCTTAATAAAATCTGTTTTTTTGTTTTCAATTTCTTAGTATAATTTTTTTTATATAAAAATTTTGTTTAATTTAATTTTAAAGCCGGCTTGTGTAAGAAGTTATAATGATTTTCACCTCCACCTGAGGTGAATACTAATTATTTTGTTTATTTGTTAAAACAATTCGTTTTAAATATCGTTAAACCTTTTTCTAGCAAATAACAGAAATAAATATATAAAAAAAACTAAACTATAAACATAATTCACTTTACTGTTGTTTGTTTTTTCTTGTTTTCTTAAACATATTTTGTAATTCTTAACACGTTTAAAGTTCTTTTAACGTGGCAAAAAATATCTAGTAACTTTTAGATTTTTTTGTTTTTATAGATGGTTAAAAGCACCTATCAACCATGTGTTTCTATCAATAATAATAATAAACAATTCAATTTTATTTGAAAAATTATTGTACTTTAAGTTAAAGCCTTTTTTTAACGGTTGTTCAATTGTAATAATGAAATATTTTTATAGGTTTCCATAAAAAGGTTATTAAACTTTTGAAAAATTCAAAATTTTTATAAACTTATGTTAACAAAGGAGTAATGAGATTTTCAAAAAGAGATTGTTTTAAAATATGATTTCTTTAAATTGTTTTAAACTGACTTTATCGCTGACATCTGAAAATCATACGCCTGTTGTCGGGTTTTTTGTTAAAAACATAACTTGCTGCTTTAATTTTAAACTTGTTGCTAATTTAAAATATCAGATTTTTGTTGAATTGTCTGATTCTGTCAGAAACAAAGTGACGCATTGAGAAAAATAAAGTAAATTTCAGAAAATTCTTTTCAACTTTAGGGTTCAGAGTGATCTACAGTTTCTACTACAGTGTGATCTACAGTCGTGACTACAGAATGTTCTACATTTTCGACTACAGAGTGATCTATATTCTGAATTTTACTTTAGCATGATCTATAGTCATGATTATAGAGTGATCTACAGTCTCGACTACAGTCCCAACTACAGAGTGATCTACAGTCTCGACTACAGTCTCAACTACAGAGTGATCTACAGTCTTGACTACAGAGTTATTTATAGACTGAACTACAGAGAGTTAAACTATATTGAACTATAGATTGGTCTTTATTTTAGAATGATCTATAGTCTCGACTATAGAGTGATCCACACTGTCCACAAAAGAGTTATCTGTAGTATAGGCAATAAAATGGTCTATAACCTCAACTAAATTGGTCAAAAGCCTCCACTATAGAACGAATAGTCTCGACTATAGAACGGTTTATTATCTCCACTATAAAACGGTCTGTAATCTTGAGTATAGAGTGATCTATAGTCTTGACTATAATGTGATCTACAGTCTTGGCAATAGAGAGCTTTGCAGTCTCGGTTATAAAGTGATCTACAGACTTGACTATAAGTTGATTTGTAGTCTGAACTAAAGAGGGATCCACAGTCTCTCCTATAGAGTGACTATAGTCGTGATTACTGCATATATGGAGTGATCTACAGTCTCGACTGTAAAGTGGTCTATAGTCTCGACAACAGAGTGGTCAATACTGTCGCCTATATTGTGATCTATAGTATTGACTATAGAGTGATTCATAGCTTCGACTACAGAGTGATCTAGAGTCGAGCCTTTAGAGTGATCTATAGTCGAGACTATGGTTTATTGTCTATACTGTAGGGTAATCTATAATCTCAACTATAGATTAATACATAGTCTCTACTATGGAGTGATCTATGGTCTAGATTATAGAGTGATCTATAGTCTTAACTATAGAGTAATTTGTAGTATTGACTATGAGTGATCTCTAGTCTTGAGTATAACCTGATTTAGAGTCTCGACAATAGAGTAATTTATGTATAGTCTCGACTATATAGTGATCTATAGTCGCGAATATAGACTGATCTATAGTCTCGAATATAGAGTGATTTAGAGTCATCTATAGACTGGACTATAGTGTTATCCATTAGCTTGATTTTAGATTGGACTATAGTCTCGACTATAAAGTAATCTATAGTCTAGAGGGATTTGTAGTCTTGAATAAAGAGTGATCAATAGACTTGACTATAGAGTCTTGACTATAGAGTGACCTACAGTCTCGATTATAGATTGGGTTATTATCTCTACTTTAAACTGGTCTCTGTATTTTTGCCTATAAACTGGTCTACATTCTCGATTGTAGACTGGTCTATAAAGTGATTTATGAAAATTTTAATTTTCGTTTAAAATTCAAGTTTGAAAAAAAGTTCTGTTTTATGTAAACAAATGCTTTAACAAATAAATAAATTGCAGTTTAATTTAAATAAATAAACATTCTTTATTTTGTTTAACAAATACAAACCAAATTTAATTAAATTCTTAAGAACAGGTACTTAAATGATAAGTCTTTAGAGTTTTGAGTGCGTTGTCTGTACTTTTTAAAGGTTTTTTAAATTTTGATGCATAATTAGTTAGTTAAAACGTGTGTGTGTTTGGTGTATTTTTTTTTGGGACACAAGTACTTAGATATTTTCCAATTGAAATAAAATATGAGTCAACAGTGACTTAAATTAAAACTTAAAGCGTGTAAACACGTCCGTTTTTATTTTAAAAACAATAATTTGTTGAGTGTTAAAACGATTTTTTTTCGATCAAGGCTTGTGTTGATTCGAAGGTATATTACAAAAGTTAACGGTTTTTTGTGGGGTGTTATTTTATTAACGGTTTTTTGAAGTTCATTAAAAAAATATGCAAATTAGTTAAGTTTTTCCAAGAAAGAAGCATTTGTGAAAGGAGCCAGATAAATAAAATATTTACTATAGAAAAATTATGACTATTGCAAGTTTACTGTAGAAAATTTTTGACTATTGCAAGTCTACTATAGACTAGACAATAGACTAGACTATAGACTAGACAATAGACTAGACTATAGATTAGATTATAGACTACACTATAGACTAGACTATAGACTACACTATAGACAAGACTATAGACTAGACTATAGACTAGACTATAGACTAGGCTATAGACTAGACTATAGTTTAGACTATAGACTAGACTATAGACTAGACTATAGACTAGACTATAGACTAGACTATAGACTAGACTATAGACTAGACTATAGACTAGACTATAGACTAGACTATAGACTAGACTATAGACTAGACTATAGACTAGACTATAGACTAGACTATAGACTAGACTATAGACTAGACTATAGACTAGACTATAGACTAGACTATAGACTAGACTATAGACTAGACTATAGACTAGACTATAGACTAGACTATAGACTAGACTATAGACTAGACTATAGACTAGACTATAGACTAGACTATAGACTAGACTATAGACTAGACTATAGACTAGACTATAGACTATAGACTAGACTATAGACTAGACTATAGACTAGACTATAGACTAGACTATAGACTAGACTATAGACTAGACTATAGACTAGACTATAGACTAGACTATAGACTAGACTATAGACTAGACTATAGACTAGACTATAGACTAGACTATAGACTAGACTATAGACTAGACTATAGACTAGACTATAGACTAGACTATAGGCTATGACTAGACTATAGACTAGACTATAGACTAGACTATAGACTAGACTATAGACTAGACTATAGACTAGACTATAGACTAGACTATAGACTAGACTATAGACTAGACTATAGACTAGACTATAGACTAGACTATAGACTAGACTATAGACTAGACTATAGACTAGACTATAGACTAGACTATAGACTAGACTATAGACTAGACTATAGACTAGACTATAGACTAGACTATAGACTAGACTATAGACTAGACTATAGACTAGACTATAGACTAGACTATAGACTAGACTATAGACTAGACTATAGACTAGACTATAGACTAGACTATAGACTAGACTAGACTATAGACTAGACTATAGGACTAGACTAGACTATAACTAGACTATAGACTAGATTATAGACTAGACTATAGACTAGATTATAGACTAGACTATAGACTAGACTATAGACTAGATTATAGACTAGACTATAGACTAGACTATAGACTAGACTATAGACTAGACTATAGA